CACACACACACACACATTTGTTTCTGTGAATTGTGGGGACTTTCCATAGACTTCTATTACTTTTATACTGACCAAAATTATATTTTCTATCCCCTAACTCAACCCTAAACGTACCCCTTACAGAAAACCTGTTTGCATTGTTACTCTTTCAGATAAACATCATTTACTATTTTTAATCATTCTTTTCCCTCGTGGGAACCACAGGCTGTTCCCCACAATTTAAAAAAATTCAGGTTTTACTATTCTTGTGAGGACATTTTGTCCACACAATATTGCATAAACAAGTGCGCGCGCGCACACACACACACACACACACACACACACAGACAGACAGACAGAGTGTTTTCTGAGAGCTAAAATGCAATTTAAGAGAAGAGAGAACAAAAGGGGGAAAACACACACACACACACACACACACACACACACACACACACACGAAGAGCTCTGTTCACCAGCCAACAACACACTGATGTGCTCAACACAAAACACTACTATAAATCAGCAGGTTTCTGCCTTTTGCATTATATATTCATTTCCAAAAAGAAATATATTTATATAAACATATAATATACATTTGTACATAAAGTCTTTTTCAATCGCTAAAATGCACTGATCAATATTGAAGCCACTTTTTCAAAATTCTCCATACAGTCTGCATTACAAATATGAATCTTGGCCAAACAGTTAATTTTACTTCCAAAACTTTCTCAAACTACCAACACACTCCACACATATAAGCCTGTTCAAGCATAACACCAGCAACAATTCTGTCTCAGAAAATGCAGTAATGCATCATTCATTTTTTAACAAAGCAGTGTGTTAGCATTAAAAATGTGCTGCAAATATACAGTACAGGGTTTTACAAGTGACTGAAAGACAAAGAAAAATAAAATAAAATAAAATCTTTCATAAATGAAAGAAAAATTATGGTTCTAGTCTTGACCGATGCATGATAGCAAAAAAAAAAACAAAAACAAAAAAAAAACCCTGTAAGACAGCTTTAAATTAAAGCTGCTTTGAAATCTACAACATATCCCTAAACTGTGCAAATGAATGTAACGTACATTTCTAAAAAAGTTGGGACATTTTGTAAAATGCAATCTGTAATTTGTTAATTCTGCTTAATCTTTAATCAACTGACAAAACTACAAAGAAAACATTTCCAATGCTTTCTCTAATCAACCTAACCTAAAAGTGAAAAGATCCAAGTTAAAATGTTTTGAAACATTCCACGATAAGCAGACAAACTGGTAATAGGTGAGTGTATCCACAAAAAAAAAAAAACTCAGTCTTCGCAAGCAAAGATGTGTTGTTGTCATGCTACGGTGATATAAACACGAAGAAGATTAAGATAAATGCAAATAGTCTTTAATAAATCCACACAAGGGTAAATCCAGGACAGAACAGGCAAGACACACACATAGGGAGGGACATAGCAGACCGGACCACAAACAGTGGACTGAACACAACTTAAATAGGTTGGTAAATGAGGATAATTAACAAGACACACCTGAACCAAATGACAATCAGACATAGACGTAAAAACTGGGTCACACAGAGCACATGGGGGATGAAAACACAACAAACGGTCCTGGGGTGTGACAGTTGTGGCTCATCACTTTGTGCCACTTTGTACCACTTAACGAGATAATTGTCAAATCATTCAAAAATAACATTTCTCGGTGCAAGATTGTTAAGGATCTATCATAATATTGTGAAAAGATTCAGGGAATCTGGAGAAATCTCAGTCAGTACAGGGAAAGGCAGGAAACCTCTGTTGAATGTGTGTAACCTGTGAACCCTCAGATAATTGCCAGAGAAACCATCATGCTACCGTGTTAAATATAGCCATATGTGCTCAGGAGTACTTCGGAAAATCATTGTCACTTAACAGTCTGCCACTGCATCAAGAAATGCAACTTGAATCTTTGTTATGCAAGGAGAAATCCATACATCAATCCTATGGAGAGATGCTGCCGAGTTCTCTGGGCCCGAGCTCCTCTCAGATGATCCGACAGACAGTGGAAATGCGTGCTGTGGTCAGATGAGTCAGCTTGTTGCAGCTTGTTTTGGGGGAAAAAATACAGACATTAGACATTGATTTCTTTGTGCCAAAGACGAAGGGGCCCATCCAGACTTCTGTCAGTTCCCACGGGATGGGTGACTTGCATATGTGTGAAGGTACCATTGAGGCTGAGGCATATATTTGGATTGTACAGTGGCATCTGCTGCCATGAAAATGACATCTTTTCCCGGGAAATCTGTGGTCATTAGAGTGAGACACTGCTAGGCCTCATTCTGCACGTGCTTCGACAGCGTGCCTGCAGTCCAGATCTGTCTCCTCTGTTACCTCCAACTGTTGAGGCTGCTGAAGTCTTGTATCAAGAGAGATTGGGCAAAAAACCCACTGGCAAAACTGCAGCAATTAATCTCCTCAGTACAGAAATGATTAAAAGTGTAATTAAAAGGAAAGGTGATGTAAGATTAGTTTTTGCAACAGAGCCTTAGAGGAAATCCCAGGGTTCATGCAACTGAAAGATGTTCCATGTTAAAATATCCGTGAATTTAATTCATATATTGAATTTCTGATTACTGCTGAAGCAGTAGCAGAGGGCAGAGCACAAAGTTCTAGACATATACTATGTGTTGGAGATGTTTAACTGATTTTGTGAAATATTTCTTGTTTGTCTTAGACAAAGCCTGGAGTTATTAGACCAGTTATTGCAACATCCAGATTTACAGATGATGAAGAATTCCACCCAAATCCTTTCAAGAGCCATCAAGGAAACAAATCCAATCGTTACCAATACAAGGTGCGTTTCTCTAAATAGTGCAGAGAACAAAAACTCAACATCAGACTAACAGCATATGTTCATGTTATCACATACAGAATGAATGTGGGGGGGGGACACCCTTTATGTTGCATATAGTTATGGTGTAAAATCTATAACTTGAGCAGTTAGCCGATGCATAAAAAGGGGTTTATATGCGACATATGCAATGCATATGCATGCCACATGAAGGGGGTCATTATAGAAGATCGTAGACAGATAAGTGCAATTTTAAACATTTTAATGGGTTCATGCATCTCCTTTTGCCTACTAGCTCCATGCAATTAATTTTGCATTAAAGTGAAAGGCAATTCAATCTGTTGCCGTATACCTTTCTTAAAAAATGAGCAAAACCAAACTGTACCATTTGTTACATTTGTGTTTATGTGCACATACTTCCTATGTTGTTTTGGCACCAGACTTACAAAAGGAATTATGCAAATTAGGTAACAGCTTAAACCACAATATGCAAAATGCAATTTCAGCTCTTGCAGGCAGCAGCAGAGGTTCTGTCGTACTATGCAGGCATATGCTGTGGAACCGGTATGGCCAGCACAGGAAAGTCCCTATAGTTTGACATTTATGGTAACTTTTTGTTTGTTAATAATTAAATTACAATCTGTATATAAATGAATAATACAAAATCCAGTTCTTCCATTATCTGTTGGGGGCGTATATCAAGGAAAAGGGAAATCAATGGGTCAACATTCCATATGTACTTCAGAAGAGCCACTAGAAGTGATTTTTCATAGTAGCTGCTGGGTTGGCTCTATTCCCAGTGGGACCAGGAAGTGCACGTATCACTAGAATCCAATGTCATGTGCAATTCCCCACATCAGTCCATCTGTATAGGCCATAAGAAAAAATAAGATGCCGATAGACCCAACATATGCCTCTAGAAATCTCAGAGAGACCAAGTGTGTTATTCATGGAGGAAATAAACAGCGGTTCACTGCTTCCTATAATTCATACAGACATGGTTCTAGTTTGGTGTCATTTGTATGCCAATTGTATTTTCTCATGTGAGGGTAATTTTATTTTACATTTTTTTTGTGAGAGCAGCTTCTCATTTTCCACAGGTTCACACGTCACTGAAGTTGTTTACTGCTACAAATTGATATAGCACCCCGTATCAAACTGTTTATAAATGCTGATTAATCCAAACCACAAAAATTGTCATCCAGTTTTTTTTTTAAATATATTTTTCACATAAAATGCTCTTTTCATCTGACAACCTATTCAACTGAGGTGACTTTAATCATGCAAACTAATTATTTTTCCATTAAATTAAATCTTACTGCTATTGACAAAACAACTACTGTTTATAAAGAAATAATTCTGATGGGTAATAAATAAATCCTCTGGTGTGTAAAGTTCTGTATTCTGGGCGGAAATCCATAGGACGCCTGAGGATTGTACACTAATGACTGTTCTGTTAACAGCATGGACAAATGGGAAAAACAATGATAGAGTAGTGGCCAAAAAGCATTTACTTTTACTTTCACTGCATTAAATACAGATTCACTTGCATTGAGAATAAACATAGTTTGACCACAACGTGTTTAGTCTCAATGTCACAAAGTGCCATTAGTGTCCGCCATGCACCCTATGATGTACACTTACGCAGAGCTTGCACTCAGGCGGCTTTGCAGCAGAATCACACATTGTGTGGAATGCTATGTCCCACAATGCAATGCAGCACAAAATCTAAATGCGAATACACATTTAAATATAAACCAAAAATGGAAGGTTCAGTCAGAAGCGTTGTGTGTACTTTGACATTTGCTCTGATCTCTGTAAACACTATCCCATTTTGCACTGTGCCTTCATTTTCTATCATTGTTCACCCTTCATTTGCCAGCAGTGATGATAAAATAACCATCAGAGCTCTCTAGTAACAACCGTGTGTACGTCACTCTTCCCGAACGCAAGCTTTTAAAATCCATCTGTGGTTGAGGATGCGGGTGTTTTGACACCTTAAACACTGTGTTTATCTCTTAACAGGCTTTTTATACAATCGCAGGCAGTAAAAGTCATCAAGATTTGTCACTAAACTATTGTCTTTGAAGGAGACTACAGAAAAACATGAGATCTATTTCACTCTCTGATGTGCAAACTTCTCCAGGCTCTCCTTGACCATGACATTTAAAAACAACTTCAGGCGTATTTGACATTCATGGCTCATTTCATTTCCTCTGAAAAGGCGTAGGTATGCCTTTTGTCACATTTGCTCAATAATGTTTCTTTTGTGAAATCCAGAAGGCCCTAGTGAATGTTTCAGTAGCTGGTTGCACTATATGACTCTTACAGTGGAATTCTTATTGTTGCCCACATTTTTCACATGTCGTTTTGGCTGTGGAGAGAAAGAGAAGGCTGAAAAAACACAACAGTTGTGCTTCTGTCAGCTAGGATGATTTATAATTATTATTTTCTTTCAATCATTGTACATATACAAGGTCTATTTTTCTTACTGTGTCCCCCCACCCTTAAAGGGTTTCATCCAAAAATGAAAATTAGCTTGTGTTTTACTTACCCTCGAAGTATCCTAGGTGTATATAACTTTCTTCTTTCAGACGAATCCAGTCGGAGTTATATTAAAAATGGTCTTTGATCTTTCAAGCTGTTTAATGGCACTCAGCGGGTGTTGCAGTTGAACAGTCCACAAGTTGAACTAACCGTTTAATAACTTTTACCTAATTTTTTAAAGGTGCTGACACCTAGACACCCCCCACATAGACTCTTTGGGCCAGATTTACTAACAGCTTGCGCCACTGCAAACGTCTTTTGGCATTAAAATAGTACTGTCAGGATTTACTAAAGACACGCAGTGAAGAATTTGAGTTGAAAAGGTGTGGACACAGTTATTTTTGCACCTGACCTTATTGAATATGCATTTGTAGGAGTTTCCCTTTCAGACGCAAACTTTATGCGAGGAGAGTATTAAAATGATCACGCAACTTGATTTTCTAATATTTGCCCTCGTCAAATTACAGGTATTTGCACCATTATTTAATTCCCAAAAAAGCACGTCTTAAAATATTTTGTGCCTGTGTCGTAAGTAGATCACCCGCACCTGATGAGCATCGGCTCTGCTTTTTTCGCCACTACGCTAATTTGCGCTGCGCTTGGTATATTGCGTTGGTCGATATGTAAATGAGATGTTGCGTCTGTGTTCTTTAATTTGCATGTTGTCAGTAAATCACTCGCAGAAATTTCGAAATTTCCCATCAGCGCTGTTTTGGAATTGCGCACTCACGCTAATTTACCCTTTGTTTGTCTTAATTATTAATTATGCATGTACGTATACAATTGTATATGTAGTAATGCTCTGTTATGCTCCAATAATTAATTGGCTGAAAATCCATTTAAACATGTAAAAAATCCTCATCCTATAATCACAATCAACTGGAACAGAAAATTCATGAAACAGTGATCCACAGGTGTGGGAATCTAGATGATTGGCAAATGTAAGTGAGCCGATCTGTCAACACATTCACAGTAAGGACGGATGGGGATTGTCTGTCAGACAGCTCTTCCTGAATCTAGAAGAGATGTCTGTCATTAATTTATAACCTCTAGCACTGTCAGTGCCATGACGTAAAATGCAATGCTTCTGAATGGTTGGAAAGTTGCCTTGTGACTAATATTGACAGTTTTTTTTTGTGACTAAATGGAGTCTTAATAGACCACTTTTAAATGAAATAGTTAATGTAAAGAACTACTCCTCTGGCTATTCTGCCGTGATGCTTGTGTAAGATAAAAGTGTTTCCTGAGGTGCACTAATAATCTTATTGATTGATTGATTGATTGAACACTTTCATAGTTAAGACGTAAATGGTCATTTTCTACCATGAATTTAGCCTCTAATTTGAACTCTCCGGTGGAAGGGGTGTGTTTGTGTAAGACTTCAATCAAAACACCCACTGCTGTGGTTGGCTAACATTTTGCATATGAAATGAGCACTACATGGGGAATTCTCTCAAAAACTGCGTTTTTACTATTACAGCCGCCAAGATTAATAATCGTGAAAAGTGTTGATTGCAGCATCATATTCAGAGCTACTCTGGTTGCATCAAAGGTTGCAGCGCTGCACTGTAGCCGGACACAGTCATGTCTACTCAGCACACAATGTAATGATCTCCTTATTTTTCCATCTTAACAAATACAGTGAAAACAATGTAAATAAGAGACTCACTGAGCAGTATTAACCAAGTCATTGTATATAACGGGAGTTTTGGTGAAAATGCAGAAATCAAATCACTGACAAGATTGATTGCTTTCTGCAATAATTACAATATAGAGAACATTTAGATTTTCCATTTCATGACCCCATTAACTAATTATGTCATGAATGCAATGAACTTTAACATTATACCTTTTAAATGACACATTTAAAACTGTACATTGGTTCCAAAAAGCGTTTGTGGATGGAAATTTGTAAACTAACTTATGAACTAATCTTAAAAGAGCGCATTATGTGCAAAGAAAATTCTGCTCACTTTGTTGTGTTGTTTGGGCTGCGAGGATAAATCACATTAATATTCTCTCGCTGTCATGCAGTACTTTATTGAGCAAAGCAAAATGGTTGATTTGTTCAAGGTTTTCATCCAAAGAAAACTCCAAGGCTTTTTTTTCCCGGAAGGGCCATTTATTTTGTGTACAGCTTATCAACACTCATTTTATGACTTTGTATATGTGGAGGAGTTCTGCTTTATTCTCTAAGAAATAAATCACCTCGACAAATGAAGGGGCTCATTAAATTTGTAAATGAGTTTATGAAAGCTATTTGCTTACGGATTCAAGCCGTCAATGTGACAACTTAACTAGACAAGCTATGTGCGTATTAATGTTTGTGATGTTGACCGCTGTTAATCTAATCTAAGCACTTTATTTACATAGATAGACTGACATTAGCAAATTACTAACAGCAGTCATGAGTTTGCTTGTATGCTTTTCAGCCTTTTGCCAACAGCTGACATTAAGCTGATATTCCTGCCTGATCTGACCCATAAACATTGCATTCATTGGCATATTCAAATTTAGTCAGGTTGATTCAGACATATTGGCCCGGTTTCACAGATGGGTTTTAGCTTAAGCCAGGACTAGGCCTTAGTTAAATTAAGATATTTAAGCAGCTTTTACAAAAATGCATTAGAAGAAAACGTTACAGGTGTGCATCTTGACAAAGAACAATGGCACTGACATATTTTAAGATATGTCAGAACAAGATATTTTAGTCTGGGACTAGCTTAAGCCTTGTCTGTGAAACCAGGGGATTAAATATTATGTTTGTTAAATTAAATGTTTTATGTTTTTTATTATAAAAAACAAACAAACAAAAAAACACTTCACCCTCTAACACTTGCGCACTATTAATTTTCTAACTGCTTGTTTTCTTTAAAAAAGGCCTCTAACCCTAGCTTTCTCTATTCTTTTTCTATTCTATCTACTTGTTTTCTTTTGATTTATTATATATATAAAACACACACACACACACACACACACACACACACACACACACACAAAAAAACTTGCTTTGTGTACTGTGTTAGGTTAACCAAGACTTGTTATAGCACTTGCGTATCATTGCTCTTTTGTTAATTTTGATTGCTTCTATTGTCCTCATTTGTAAGTCGCTTTGGATAAAAGTCTGCTAAATGATTCAATGTAAATGTTAATATAACATATATATATATTTAGGTTGCCTTACAAAATAACAGATTTTAACAGTATAAAGACATTAATAATAATAAAAAATACTGCTGAATTGCTGTGTTACGTTAAAATGTTTGCCTATTCTGAAATTATGCAAATCGTATATACATATAATAGTATATATTTAACATTTGTATATAATCATAGTTGTGCTTTTTCATCTCTAAACTATTGTAAATGGCGTCTTGATGTTTTGAGTCTTTGTAATTATATTTATGTGCTCACAAGTTGTCATTACAGCACAGACAGATAAATTAATAAGTACTTGTAACTGTGTCATGAAAAGCTCCCGCAGTATCAGAGCTCAACTCTCTGAACGATTCTGTAGTTGAGATGTGATCTCATTATACCTTTGATGGCTTGGATGACATGTGACAAGAGGGAGTCTAATAGACAGCAGGTAAACTGGTAGCTGTAATGAATGATAAGATGGATAGGAAGGGATAAGGGTGATTTATAGCCTATCAGACGGTTAAATAGCACTGTTTTCATTTAGAAAATACCTTAGTCTTTGATGTAAATACCTTAATATGGCAATATCATGGTATTACCACTTGATGCCATCACTTTACCATGGTACCACCACAGTAACACATTCTGTCATTAGAGTCGATCAACTCATCCTGTATTCACACATATTATCATGTTAGTAAAATCAATTAAGATCAATATGTGTGTGTCATCCTCATGACATTCTATTATTATTGTACATGCTTAATTTAGGAGTGGGTGGTGTGAGTCTGCATTATCACAACTCTAAAAGAGGCCTACTTTTCTTTTTGCAAAATATATTTTTTCCGCTCCTTTCGATTCTGAGAAATGTGAGGACTTGTGAGACCATTATGGTTTAATGGTTTGACACTTGGCTCGCATTTCATTAGTAACCAGCATGTGTGTTTTCAGTTTGTCAGCAGTGCGCTCTGCGATGAAACCCAAGCAGATGGTAGAGGAGCTTCAGACGGGCAGCCAGCGTGTGGAGAGGCACTTCCTTCAGAGCCACAAGGAGACTACAAGACAAGGCTGGCATCTCTGATCACACAGACCAGGATCTCCATGCAAGATGTTCCCACCTCCATGAAACCCCAGGAGACACACATGTGATGCTTACAAGAGAGCCTGGACTGATCGTAACTGTGACTGCACATTAAAAAGCCTATTAAAGGCAGCACACGTCAAGCATCTTCCTCAATTGAAGATGCACAAAGTAATTTTAATCGAAATGAATGAATAGTAAAATGATGTTTGCTTACAAACTCAAGGTCAGGTTTCACCCCAAAATCAAAAGTAAGAAGTAATAATAGCTCTATACAACAGACTCATTCATTTTTTCCCTTTCTTTCTTATTTTGCTGTGAAATCTGACCAGTTGGTAACTGTTTTTATACCATTCACCCAATAAGAGCATAAGAACTGACGTAATTATTAGTGCACTTTTATGTACAATCATCCAGTCAAATAGTGATTGCTCTGAAATTGGCCCTACTGTCCACCAGTTGCGGCATTTCACAAAACCATAGGGTATGGCAGTGGTGTAAATCGGGGGTGGGGGGTATGCACATTACTAAGCACTGAAATATAATTAAACACTGCGTCGTCAGAGTTGGTATGTGGCTTTATCAGACACTTGCACTTAACATTTTATGAAAATCAAGCTCAAATGGAGTTAACAAGGTTTTTGATCAGCGAATGACGGAGATCTGTGTTTTGTCTGTCATTACAACGACCGCATCTGAGGCAGCAAGTGCATCGCATTATACGCTTTCATCAACTTACAGGTTATAACATTTATTGTAGCTATATGGGCGCTTCGTTTTTCATGTCGTTTAATACACTTCATGACAGACGATGAAGCGCTATATACACAGGATATTTAAAACGTAGCCTACAAAAGTAGCCTATTGGTTACAACTAGACAGCAAAAGCTATTCTCCACTCTTCAAACACACACACAAAAAATCAGCCTCTATAGACAGTGTTTTAGTGAAGAAAACGCTGTATTTATTCAGACATCATTTATTATTTACCATTGCATTGCGAACAAGCCGAGATCTATCTCCAGGCTTTGTTCTGAATGGAAGCAGGGTTAAGTTAAAAGGTTTTGCTGACAGTTTGAGGATCCATAGAGTTAAAAAGTTTAGTGACAAGCTCTTTTGAATGCTTTTCATTGGTTAAATATTTGTAAAACCCTCAAACAGACATAAGGAAGACCAATAGCAGTGATTTAAAACAATAATAACGAAATATAATAGAGAGTTTGGATTTTCCACGGCACACCTGACTGGGCTAGGGTATGGCGACTGCCTTACTCTGCCATACGGAAACGCCGCCCCTGCTGTCCACATCACATTTATACAATCACAGTGCCATTGATATAAGATGGCCTTTTCAGTTCATTCAATAAAAAAACATATGGCATGTCCGAGACACTTCTCTGTAATGACTGAACTCAAAAATGCAAATTCATAATAGAACAGTGTCTATAATAATATTCATATCTAGGTTCTGTGGGTTTTAACATCTATCTGACATGGCTTCTTTCTCCAAGCACTCAACTCTAAAATACCCTTCCTTGCAAAACCCTCAAAGTTGTAATTTTTTTCACAATCAGTTTTCATTTAGAGTACAAAATAGGCCTGAAATCTGATTACTTAAGCCATTTACTGCAGACACACAGTTCTGTCAAAAGCTGCATTAATGGTGCCTGAACAAAATCAATATTGGCCAGTCAATACTTGTCTGTCCGATTTTGATACTCTGTTCCAGGGTTTCCTAACTGGGCATTCACAATTTCAAATTATAATATAATATAATATATAGGTAATTATTCACACACTGAAGGGTGAAGAAAGCAAACCCTTGAATTTAGTAACTTGAATACTGATATATTTTCAGCATTTAAACGTACAAAACTGAAGTTTTGACGACACCCAAAAATGAATCTTTATGAATATTGAAATCGCAGCATTGATTTTATTATTGTTGTTGTGTTTAGTTGTCATATTATGTTTTCAATTGCATTATTAAATTGTTTACTCGCTTACTTTATATGAAATGATAACATTTCGTTCTGTTCTGTGATTTCTGCTGCCAGCTCATTTCCAAGAATAGGCCCACATGTTGAACAAGACTTAACTTTAAACCCTTAAAATAAATAACATTTCTGCAATCGTTTAACCTTTACTTGTCATGTAATGTTTACTTTGTTTGCCATGGGCCACAAAAGGCGTTTTCTCCGACATGCTGTGACTGACAATAGAACTATAAAATACACCAAAAACGCAACATAATTACGAAATGAAACAATTTTATTCGTGCGCTGTAGGCCTAATCCAAATCTTCAGAATCCATACGACTGCGAGGAACAGACCCAAATCCAAGCCTTTATTCGGCGATCTTCATCTCCATCCTGAGCAGCGAGTCCAGTGACCGTAAGCAGCAAAGCCCGCGCCTCTCTTTACAAATGCAAATGTTGCCGCTTCAAACGACAGGTTTTACGGCAGGAAAATGTAACACTCATTGCCTCTTGCCTTCTGCTCTGCACATCACAAACCTTCTGTATTCCGCCAGAGAGGACTGCGGCTGCAACGCATCGTCATTTGGATTACTTTTGGTACATGCTTTTGAAATTTTTGCAATAGATAAATGATTGTAATTGCATTTATCTGTCTGTCATGTTTTTCTTATACTGTACAGAAATAGTAATGTAGGAGTGGGATTAGCAACCATAAAAATATTTATAATCCTATAGTTACTAAAATGGTTATTTTCCTGCATATTTCGGTCAATTGTGTTTTATATCCTTTTATATTCGCGATAAAATGGTTAGGTTTCGGTTTGGGGGTAGGTTAAGGGGTCTAAAAACCTGAATCGCTTATTGATAAAATTATAAAAATGCATCTAGGCGAATATCTTAATGATATAAAAGATACGTAAATATTTTATGTTTTTTAGCTAAAAATACGTAGTGATTTGTACATTTTAAATGTTGAAATATGTCTAAATTGTACGTTTTAGCATCAATAAAAACGTCTCAGGTTACTTATGTAACCATGGTTCCCTGAGTAGGGAACTAGACAATGCGTCCTC